CAACAGAATTTTATCTAAAGTGTTCCTTTCTTTGTAGGAAAGCTATTCTGGGCTGGAAGTACAGCTCAGTGTTAAACACGTTCAAGCATGTGCAAGGCCCTGGGTTCAATCTCCACCACTGTGCCACAGTAAGTGGATGGATAAAAGAAACCTATCTGAAATGAATTATATGTAATTGCAAAGAATAATGTTATAAGCAATAAGAATACTAAGATAGTTCCTTTTGAAGTTCAGTATGTTAAGTTTTAATGAAGAAATTATGAATGTCTGAAAAAATGAAGTACACACCTGAGTTGCTGATGAAATTCAAATTAGATTAGCAATGCTGTTGTTATAATCCATGATTTTAGAAAGGTATGTGTCCTGAATTTTAAAACAGTCTTTAGGGGTCAGGGAGATGACTCAGGGAATAAGTACTTCCTTGGAAGGTGCAAGGGCCTGAGTTCAATCCCCAGTTCTGGGGGGAAAAACAACAACAACAACAACAACAACAACAACAGTCTTCCTTTTGCCTAGGCAAGAGAGGAACTGAACCAATTTTGTTTTCTTGGTCTGACCCTAATATCAGGTAGCCCTATTCCCATGAAATTGTTATCCAAACATCATCAAAAAAAAATTACTGGGCCAATATATCACCCAGAAAGCTTAACTGGATGCCAATCTTCTATTACTAAAATCTATGTATATGTAACTATGTTTGAACTAGAAATAAGCACTTGATGACATATTATAACTTTCTTATGTTAAACATTTTTATTACAGCAACATATCTGAGTAGCTGAAACAATGTCACCATACAGATATTGCATGCGAGAGCATGACAATGCAACGCTAACTGCACACTGTGTTGACATTTCAAAGCATATTCTCTGTAACAACATTTGTGTTCATTTACAGGTAGTAAAGCACATGAGGATAATATGAGTCGTGATTCACATTAGCAAATGTTTTGCTTTCAAACTAATCCTCAAACCCAGGATGGTCTACAAAGCCATTAATACTCACATGTTGTAGCACGTACAGTATTTTTGTTTGAAATAAACAGCTCAGGACCAAGAATTGTTAACATTTGAAAGAGAAATATCAGCATCACCTCATTAATTTCCTAATGTAAGTTCCCTTACTGACTTAGGAATTTACTAGCCTACTGAACAATGTCCTTTCCAATATCTTTCAAGTGAGCAGGTGGGGATAAAAGGAAAGCTTTATGGAACTCTTCTTAGATAACATCACCCCATTAATACAGAATGTACCCTGAGCAACATTTTTTCAATATACTGTATACCTATTTATGATAGACCAAAAAAATCAAACCCATCAAAAATGGCAGTAGTCTCACACTATGCATTCCATTTTACAGTACCTATTTTGGGGCTACAATACTGCTACTTGTAGCAATATATCTTACTTTATATGGTTCCAGGGAATTGGTGATATTTTAGACATAGAAACTTCAACCTGGTTCCTAAAAATTTCAGCAGACAAACTAAATTTGGTCCAATAAAGTATTTCGTCTAAATTTTATTCTTGCCCAGCCAAAAGCACAACACACACTTTAAGGAAAAAGAATATTTAAAAGGCAGGATTTCTCTTCTTTTGATTATGTCCTTGCAAAGTTCAAAGGAAAGTCAGAGGAGAATAAGGAGAAGAGAAACAAGTAGTGTGAGGAAAAACATTTCATCATGAATATACTTCCAAATTTTCAATTTATTTCCAAGTTAACTTCAGTCAAAGCATTTAAATAATATCTAAGATTTAGACATTATGGTGCTTGGAAACTTCAATTTCTCCATTTTAAGAGAAAAACAAATATTCAAAAATTAGCAGGTCATAGGATCAAAAGAAATTGTATAGTTATACTTTTTATTGTTTAACTCTTACAATCAAGAAAACAAAGACTCAAATTGTAACTTAGAATTACAAAACATAAAGGAAAGTATTTATGTCACTCTTGAGGTATTTACTTTTTTAAAAAAGAATATACATTTAAGAATGAATCAATGCTTTACAGAAGATTAAATGAAGTTTATGCAAGAATCAATTTTTTGGTTCTTTGACAAGGTTCAGTAATATATAAATTTAGACTTGAGAGGTTTTACATAACATGACTTTGATATGTTAAAGAAACATTTTGATTAACTGATATTAAATTAGCTGAAATTTCAAGTTAGATAACAAAATTCCACACTCAGCTACTCATCTAGTTAAACAGAAAATGAAATCCTTTTCTTGATGACTAGAAGTTGCTATTACCTAATTTTGCATGACTATAACATGAAAACAAAGGGTTTTCTTGATTGCATTTGGTTTCATTTTAATTTTAGGGAGAAGAAACTAGTGGAAATGTTTTGCATATTCAGACCTAACTTGGACACATGATAACATCTGTATCACCTTTGCATCTTACAGATAACAAGAGATATTGAACTATGTACTAGACAAAGGTTCTGAAATGTCATCTGCGTATCTGATCTCATTACAATTCACTTTTACGTATTCAAGCCTAATAAAATGCTAATGAAATAAAGCCTGTTGTTAGTAAAACTGATCAATATGTGAAGTACAATAGTACTTTCAAGCAGTTACGTAAAGGAAATGGTAACTAACATACAAGGCTGGATTACTCAAGGTGAAAACTAATGCATAGCCCCAGACTTTATTTGTGGGTGATGACTTAAAAAGGCTTTTCTTCGACAACTCTAGAAATCATCCCAATCTTAGGTTTAGAAAGAATTTTCTCTTAAGATTTATCAAATCTGTAGGGGTATATTTTCCTCTACCAGAATGAAGATGTATTTTAATTTTAAAAAAGCAAATTACCTTCTAAAACCTCTGATGGGATTAAGTAGCTTCAGTGTTTTTCAAATATGTTAGCTATTTCTTTCTAATGAGACAGAGAGGGGGAGACTGAGACCTCACTACTACTTATGCTGATATGTTTTAATCCTATGAAAAATTTTATAATTAAAACTAAGAAATATTTTATATCTCTAAAATGTTCCTATGGCCTCTAGAGGGGTTGGTTCATTATTATGGTTCATTGTTATGTCCTCTCTTAGTCGCTCAACAGAGAACGGCGCTAGAGCAGCCATAGTCCACTGTCAACTGGGTAGTACATATAAGGAAGGAGCACGTGGCTTTATCTGTAACTTCACCATGTCAAACTACATCAGGAAAAATAGGCAAATGGGAGTAATAAAATTCTAGTGCCAGACTTACGTAACTAGAGAAATGAAACTTGTTCATCAAATAGTTGAGTGGTTCTGTAATTTAAATTTACTTGTGTGTGTGCATGTGTGTGTACATATATATACGAGATAGTATTCTGGAAGAAGGCTTATTCCCACTTTTGGATATTCTCTTTTGTTTTAAATAAAATTTCATTCTTGTACAACTAATGATTGAAAGTCCAAAGCAGAGAGCTGGGCAAATTAAAGCCATTTGGACTTAAGCTAAAGTAAGTAAAGGACCAACAGCAACCCTGGGCTCACACTGCTTACCAGTCATTTTAAACTGTGTCTCTTTCACGGCCAAATCATGACTTAAAAAAATGATTAAAATCACTCCACAAAAGGACTTGTTGATCATTCTTTTACATGTTAATTTCCTGTTATCCCAATGTTGTATTATTCTAAGAAGAATTTATGGAGTCTGAGATGCTACACTAACTTCCTTCACCATGATGCCTGTATCCTTCTTCCACAGAGACAAGGGCAGATTATTTGGAAATGCATGAGCAAGAAAACGTCCCCTGGAATATGGATGTTAGGCCGTCATAAAGAATCAAATAAGTAGCAAGAATTTAGAAAAAATCCAATTATCTTGGACTAACACTCTCTCAGAAAATGGCTTTAAAATCAAAAGATATGTAACTTCCAACTTTTGGTGCCTGCTCTCCAACCAGTGAATTAACACAGGTCAGTTCCCCTGCCTAAGCTCTCCTGCTTTGGGCTACTTCTTGGTTTAGTGGAAACAGCTTTTATGATATTAAAGGAGTACATTCATGAATTCTATAAATAATTGTTATCTACTAGAAAAGCAATTTGAGAAAGAAATTTAAATACATTTCTAAAACGGTGAATACTAGTCTTTCTAGAGAGCTCAATCAATACCGCTATTTATATTTTTATGAAAAACTGAAAGCTCACTCATTGGTTTAAAAAACTGTAAGCAAGAAAAGGAAGTAAATTGCTGTGAAGCTTATTCATGATAACATTAGACAAAATGATTCCGTACATTGATTTTTTAAAAAATCCTTCAGGTGTAACTCAATGGCTAGCAATATGTCATTTGAATCTTCTGCTCACAATCATGTAGATTATTTTCTGTGGTACAATGGTAAACAAATGCAAATTGGCCTCAAGATTATGACTTCATAAGAGTAACGCATTATCCTATAATGTCAACATGAGTTTGAAATGTCAGTCCTTCCATGGGAGAAGTATGTTTAGAAACCTATTCCGCCCATCAAAGATATTTTCCAAATAAAAATGAGTGGCATAAGACAAAAGTAGTATAGAAAGATTCTGTTAGTGCCATATTTTTCTCTTCCTTTGACTCCCAATGAAAAGTAAAAATAAATGTTAATTTATATTTCAATTTTAGCCAACTGGATTGTCTTCCACTTTAGATCATAATATGATCTTACCACATTAAAATGCACATTATTACAGGCAATTATATTTTCACATAGAGGGATTACAATGTTGGAGAATCAGGCTGGAAGTTTTGTAGTACTGTACAGTGTGCTCTAATAACAATAAGCCCGTTTTATATCTAATTCTATCATCAAGGAACATCAGGCTTCTAAAGCTTCTGTGATGTGAATAATAAATAATAAGGTATTATACTATTAATGCTTAAATCAAAAGCTGTGTTGTTTAAAAAATAACACTGTAATGGGATCTTTAATATCAATTCATTTTTATATACTCTGCAGCAAAAATAACATTTCTAGCAGGAAGGAGTCAACTGTAAACCTAGCAAACTGTAGACATTCATTTGTGTAAACAATTTAATGTAGTTTATTACATTTTCAGAAAGGCTAACTCTTATATTCAGTTTTCTGCTAATTCTTTCATATATTATAATAAATATATATGTTATTTGAGTGAATGTGTGTATGTCTTTTCACATATACATGTCATATATACAGAAAACAGCACTTAATGGTCACTTTCTTTTCATTTGCAACTTGAGGAAGTAAATGAGTTACTATTATGCATAACCTACGGCAGTCTTCCCTTTGATTTCATACATGGCCGTATCGGGATGTAAACAAAACATTGGACCGAGTCATTCCAGGTGCACTGTATTTCATGTTGTAGGTGGGGGTTCTCATGAAGAATTGGGTACTTCCTGGTAGTAAATACCTGGAAATAATAATTAAAAATTAGATTGCTACAAACAACCTACTGACATACCTTTCATGAAAAATGCTACTATAACAATGTTATAAGTCATACAAAAAGAGTTCTTCCTAAGATTTTGAGGTGAGATTACAGAACCTCACTTGAATCTGAATAAACATACGATATCAATATCCCAAAACATTCTATATAGTCATTGTACTCAAATGCCATGGGACTGTTGAAGTGGCTCATGTTAATTTAGAATTCACCATCACTCCCTGGAACATGTGAAGCTAGTCAAATATTTTTAAAACAGCTAGCAAGCTACTTTAACAATAATTATCTTTTTCAAGGATATTGGAGGTACTGATTATAGTTTAATAATATTGATGTATTATGAGTATAATCTAAAACAAAAGGATAAAAATTAACATTCATAACTAAATTACAGAATTTTTATATTCTCATGCCATACACTGCTTGTAATTATAGATTACATGTAACCTTGCAGTCAAATGTATTGCAGAATATGTAGTTTCTCCAGATTTTACAAGATAGTCTAGCGCATATACTATATAACATCTCTATCAGGGTCTTGCCAATGAACCATTAATATTTAAACTGCAAAATACATTAAAGCAGAAAGAAGCCAGGGACTATATTCAGTAACCAAGGTCACACCCACATGATTCACTGAGACGCATTCAGAGGTGTGCCATGCTATTCTCCTAGGCCAGTGTTCTCTAACATTTCTGGCACCAGGAAGTGGTTTAATGGAAAACAAATCTTTCCACTTGAGGGGGGAGAGTAGTTGATCCTTCAAAATAGTAAGTTTTGTGCTCCTATATGAACCTAAGGACGTAGCTGATTTGACAGTAACATACTATCCAAGAGAGGGGAGTGACTGCAAACAGGGACAAAGCTTCACTCACTCAACTGCAGTTCTACACCTACTGTGTGTGTTGTGGCTCCTAACAGGCCATGACCCAGAAGTGGTGACCCCTGCCCTGGGAGGCTCTCAGGCCCATTAGACAGGCAAATACACTTAACCACTGCATTCTGCCATTTATCTACTTGACATCCAAACACATCCCCTTTTATAATACTTCATCCCCAAATAACACAAAATCATGATTCTGCCTAACAGGGTATAATTATCTCACATACAACTGAAACACAAAAATCCCTTCCCCAACATCACAACAGTTCCAGGGTTGCTAAAACTTCCAAGTCCAAGTCTTCTCTGAGACTCAAAGCCAACTCTTTAATTGTGAATTCCTGTAAAAGTAAAGAGCAAATCAATCCCAATATCCAATGATAGAGGTTAGACATTCCCATTCTAAAAGGGAGGCCTTGGAAAATAGAAAAGAAGAGGGGCAAAAACTAGCAGGGTAAACATGAGGTCTTGTAGCTTCCTGTCTGCCACCTGGAGCACCTAGCAGTGTAACGTAAGTCCCACAAGGGGCAGGCAGCCCCACGCCTACAGCCCTACTAGCTGCAGACCACGTGGCTTGCACAATCCTGCACTCGCATGCACAGTGTCTCCAAGCACTTTCAGCGTCATTCCTACAAGCTCAAGCACTACCCTTTCAGGGCCTCCATGCCAGGTTTCCAAGGCCTTTCTCTGAAGTTGCAGTGAAAGCCTGCATGACCCCACAACTGTTACTCTCTGCTTGCCTATAAAGCTAGCATCACATCATGATGCCATAGTCTTGCACCAGGTGAAGCGACAGCCCGGGTCCATAGCTACAATGGCCTCGGGGTGCACAGCCGGCTGCACAGCGAAACAACGGAAACCAAGCCTCTAGGCAACTCTTCTCAAGCAGAGGACCCAGGGAGACTCTTAAGTGTAAACTTTACACTTCTGCACCCTTGAGCTTGATAGACTGGCTCATACTGATTTTTGAGATGCTATCTTTCTTCTTGTTCTACAAAGTACTGTTATTTATTTATTTATTTATTTATTTATTTTGCTATTAATCTCTTTTACAAACACACCTCCAGGGCCCGGGGAGATAGCTCAGTACAATAAGTGCTTGCCTGGTAAGCGCTGGGTCAAGTTCAATCCCTGGTACTGCAAAAACAAACAAACAAGCAAAATGATCTTCCTGTGGTCCAACTTTGTAAGTGGATATTTAGGGGACCAGCATTTAAGCTTTTAAAATTTTTCTCCTTTGCTTCTTGCCCCTGGATCACACTATAAATTTGGGTGAAAGCATTCAGTATTACCCATGCCACAGCTTTAATGTTGGGCTTCCTTGAAATTTTCTCCATGAAATCAATTAGGTTATCCTTAAATTCAGCCTGCTACTGTTTCAAGACATGGGATGAATGTAGAGCAATTTCTTATCATAGAATAGCATGAATGGTTTGTAATTTAACTCCCAAAGAATCCTCATTTCTAACTGAAACCTCATGAGTCTGACCACATTTCTATCACCTTTCCAATCTATCTATGACCAGAATCACCCACCAAACTCGGCTTACAACATTCTAGTACTTCTCTAGCCTGCATTTCAAAATCTTTCCAAAATGCTCCTATAAGCCCATTACAGGCATAGTTTAATTTGGCTCAGGGTTTCAGTTGATTCAGTCCATGGGTGGCTGCCTCCTCCATGGCAGAAGGGCAGAGTCAAGCAAAGGGCATGGCTATGGGACTCCACGCCTGGCCAGATCAACATGCCTCCATGATGCACCCAAACACACCCAGAAGTGTATTACTCAGACTCTGAGTGGCTCCTAAGCCAATAAATTTAATATTATTAATACTATTTAATTTTTTGTTAATTTTAATGAGAAAGAAATAGCAATGAGACAGTTTCAAATCAGGTTAGTAGGACAGTTACAATAATTAATACATTGCATATTGTTGTCTTTGTTGCACTTGTTCAGAGGACAAGAGACAGACATGATCTCTTATCTAAACAATATTAGTACAAATCTTTCTTCTCAGTGAACTAAGAGAAAGTAGCTGTATATCTGTCATAATTATTTTGTATATACATACATATTTTTTCAGTACAAAATCGTCCTTCATTTATATCCCCTCTTTTTGCCATATTAATATGTTGAGCTATAAAAGGCTCAAGTCAACAACTTCTGAGAATTGCCAGTTCTGCTGATAACCCACTACTATTATGGACTATTGGACTATATTGGGTTATTTTGCTGAGTTCAAGTGCCTGCAATATTTGAACTGTTATCAAGTATGAAAAGGTCCTTTAAAAACTTCTTCAAATACAGCTTCTTTAACAGCAATGGAACACCCATCTCTAACAAAATAATACTATTAATTTTAACCACCAGAAACTTCATGTCAATTCAGGATAGATCTGCCAAACAATGTGTCTTTTTTTAATTTAACTTTGGGAATTAAAAACAATAAATCAGAAACTGTACAGCAGATTTATCTCTTTTCCTATAAAAGCCCTTGACTGGCATTGTGCAAATCTAAAGCTACATGTCTAGGGAGAAATTGTTAAGGAAATCCACATGAACAAATATAAATAAATAATAATATTTAAACTGTAAATCCTAGAGAGAATAGGACATGCTATAAAATCAGGACCAAAATAGCTATGACAGTCTCCAATAGAAAATTTATCAATAGAATGAGACTGGTAATGTACAATGATTTTCAAAAAATAAACAATGGTAGAATATCAAAAGATTTTTCTTCAGTTCATTAAAATTCTCAAGTATCCTGGCCTGTCATGCTTGCCCTGCTGAAGGGTGGTACTGAGATGGTGACTGAGACTGGGCATGGTGGAACACACCTGTAATCCCAGCCCTTGGGAGGCTGAAAACAGGAGAATCACTACAAGTCCAATCTACATAATGAGACCATAGACCCTGTCCTAAATACAGAAAAAAAAATCCTCAAGTATCATAAATTCATAAATATATGATAAAAGTGAGGTCCAAGAACTTATTCGCTACTCTTCTGTGAAACACTGCTGATAAGCATGGTACCACTTTGTCAATGGAGAATTGTATTCATAGCTGTTTTATATGAATTCTGTAGAAAGAAAATTAATGTATTATAATAAAACTACATACAACATTCAGATTAAAATAGAAGAATTTTCCATAATATCCATAAACATTTCATCATGAATTATCAAATAATATACACTGAACCGATTACCTAATATCACAAACTATAAATAATCGCTCACATCATTAAGTTAATAGAGCAGTAAGGTAATATACAACAAACTAAATTAAATCAAAATTCCATAATGGATGATGAATAATGAAACAATTGATTTCTCACATCACAGACTACATAAATTATATTTTAATATCACCTGGGTAATTTATATGGATTAATTATTATGTCAAGAGCTGGTAGAGTCACGATGATTAATTTGATACCTTTTGTTGTGAAAAGGCTTACCTTCCTATCAATGGTAAAAGTGAAAAATAAACTAAGGTTGTTTGATTAAAGCCCCCACCATCTGGGTTAGATGGAAGTTGTTCTTTCTTTTGACAATGTGTTCTGACACTCTGGTAATTATGGAGGAAACAGAAACTTCTATCACCTTTCTCACAAAGAATTTCCAAGCAACTGGGACTACTGACATTTTAGTAACATTAATATACACTTTTGAGTTAAAGATCTCCATTTAACAGAAAAATAAAAACCACATAGTCTAGAACTGCAGCTAACTTATGTATTAAATATTTCTATAGTGCTTTCTGTGGGCCTCACAAATATTAACTCATTTAATTTCTCAGAGCATCTCCATACAGTAGATGTTATTTGCTGCACTTACAGATGAATGAGCTTCCTGAGGCATAAAGCAGTCCAATGCCTGTCCTACAGTCATGTAACTCCTAAGTAAAAAGCAGAACTCTGTCTACAGAGCTGCACTGCAGCATGAGGCTCCACGCTACTATTCTGTTGCCATGACAATTTCATATAATTGTTACTGTATGTGAATCACAATTTTAAAACTAATGGGTTCAATTATTATGTACTTTTTCAGAAATATGAAGTATAAAACAGAGAAGTATTT